TTCCTGCTGTTTTGTTCTGCCTCCCCAAATATATCTTATGTTTCTTTCATTGCTGAGCTTAACTGTTGTTCAAAATCACAGAGAAGCAGTCTCTTCAAAAATCACGTTGCCTGGAAAATCAACTGGGGCAGTTTTTCTAGTGGTTCAGCACATTGCTTGGTGTCATTACTGGTTTGTATCTTCTAGAACTCCAGAAACTTAATGCACAAATGCCATACTCGGTCAGTAATTATCACTTGACAGTGATCTGAGTGTCTATTCTACGACAGGTGCTCTGAGACTGTTTGTGTTTTTGTTGATGGAGGAGGTTTTGTTGGTTGGTTGGTTGTTGTTTTTTGGTGGTGGTGTTGTTAGTTGGGTTTGGGATGTGGTTTTTTAGACCCACTGAGACTTCCCCTGCAAAGATCTCGGTATTAATAATTGGCCATCTAAAATGAATCTTGGATCGTGTTGCAAATGAAGAATTGCTTAGAAAAGCACAAGGAAATCTAACTTTGGTGGAAAAATAAATGTAAATTAGCAAGTTCTTAAATGTTTCTCTCTGGTCTATGTTTTATCTGTGCATGTTAATCCATTCTGTCAGCAACTTTATTGACTTTGGTAAAGCCTTAATAGTGTTGGAACAACTGTATTAACTCTAAACATAGGTAGACTAGAACCTGATTTTTATACCAGTTGAAGTCCTCACAATAATCACAGCAACAGTTGCAGTGCCAGCTTCCATGTGGCATTTGCAGCTGAGAAATGAGAGAAGTAAAATTTGGAGACAGTTTAAAGCAAAGTTTAAGAGCAATTGTTATCATCAATGTACTAGAGAACTACTAATGTTATGCTGCTTCTTGTCTTAATTAAGTAGTAGCTAATGTGTTAATAAGTTCTTTTTTCAGTAAGTATACACATTTCTGAGCAAAGCAACTGGCAATACATCAAAAGCTCTTTGAGAAATGGTCACCTGACAGGCAATGTTCATTTCTTACTATAAAAGCCTTTCCTTTTATTTTTTAATGATGTTGTTTCTGCCTTTTGAGTGACTATTTGACACTTAGGATATTATTATTTATAGTCTTGTAGGTCGTGTGATTCAGATCTTTCTGAACTCTATTGGTTTCCAACTCAGGCTTGTCTAATTGTGGTACAACCAGAGCTCATTCTTCACGAATAAATCTGTCACCCATTGTGTCTTTTCAGGTGTTCATCAGTAGTTAGAGGTTGTTCTGGGGAGTACAATGTAACGCACCAGTGAGTGAATGCTATAAACTCTATCGCATCTTCTGAGCATGCAAGTTAAAGTAGCAAGTTGAAGTTGTTTCAGAATCTGCATTTGGTAGTGGAGATGGTTAATCAATTTCTTGTATTTTTGGACAGGAATTTGTTCTCACAGTGAAAAGATGCCATTCTCTGAATTCTAAGAAGGAGAGCTGCCACTTTTCTGGGTTCACAGAATGATTTAGACTGAGTGGGACTCCTTGAGACCAGCGTTGTCAAACTCTACCACGGAGTGCTTGCTGCTTTATAGTACAAAAATATGGTTTCTTGGTTTCAGACGCAGATTAATCAGTAATCATGTTTCATTTCTCTTTAAAGAATTTCGCTTTACAAAGGCTCATCTTAAGTCCTACCGTTGTTTTGTTGTTTGTTTGTTTGTTTTTCCTTTTTTCAAAACCTCCGATTCTCTCGTGTGGGATGATGCTGAAGAAACAATTCCTAAGTGGCAGCCCCAGAGCTGTTAAGGCCGAGCCGACTGGCTGCTCTTTCCACAAGAGGGAGCACTACGGTCGCTGTAGTACTCGTTCCGTTGCGACTGAGAAGGGCTTTGCGACCTTGCAGCCAGCAGAGGAATAATAGAAAGGAGTAGCATTATTCACTGGAAGTTAAGTGTGCATACAGAAATGCCTTTTCTGACTAATCTCAGAATTCTTACTCCCTCCATAAAAGGCACAAATGACACAAAGGTGAACCCAAATAGAAAAAACTCTAGACATAAAAAATCAGAACTGTGAGACCTCAGTAAAAGTAGTGTATGAATTCACAACATATCCCTATAATGTAATATACTTTAATAATTATACATTATTATAACCATGATGGTACAGCCTTAAACTTTGTATTACTAGAAATAAATTGCATGTCAGAATTCTGTTTTTCAAACGGGCATAAGGCAAACAAATAGCAAACAGTATCAATGGTTAAAAGCCAATTCATTTTATTCTTGAGAAAGACTGAGACTTCTTGAAATACTTACGGAGGTATTTACTAAACATATTTTATTATGATTTAGTTTTTAATCTATTTTCCATATAGGCCAGTGAATGCCTGT